GCCTGCAGCATTATCTCCAGCAGGAAGATAGGCTGGTTGCCATTTGTAACAGGCATGAAACAGACAGAGAGCAAGCCATGCAGGTGTATGATGATTCCTTCCAATCCTTCCCTCCTAAACCTAGAAAGGACTTGATGGATATTTGTAACTCCCTTCAGAAACTGGTAGCAGACAAGGAGGGCAGAGTGAAGAGAAAAAAAGTACAGAATTCCACTTGTGGTTCTGTCGACTTTAGAGATTGCTTTATTTGAATTCCCTATAAACGTACAGTTTGATTATAGTATGTAAAACAACTTAGGTTATTTCACATTAGACTTTCCAAAGCTGAAAATGGTCTTACTACACTAGATCTACACGAGAAGCGATTGATAATGGTCTTAATCTTCGTTTTGGTTATATACTACTACCAAGTTCAGGCCGCGAGCCCAGAGCATCTTCTACTCCCTAAATTGTGGGTTTATATTTTTAGATGGTTTCAGGTTGTAAACGTACACTTATTACTAACTTCCAATCAATGCCATCCCCACGTGTCTAAGTTAAACTTTTCTTTTTTTTTAATAAGCTCTAATTCATGATGCTGAGATCAACAGTCGCATGCTCTTCTGACTGAGCCAGCCAAGTGCCTCTAAGTTAAACACAATTTTGAGTTACCTCAGAAGATATGTCTATTTATTGGCCACGGGGGCATCTCAGTCAGCTAAGCATCCAACTCTTGATTTTAACTGAGGTCTTGATCTCAGGATTGTGAGGAACGGGTCATTCTACCCAGAAGTATTCAAAAGAGACCCCCAATACGATCCAAATAGTTTCTGTAGTATACAACAAAAAGGAAAAGTTAATCACATCAACACAGGAGGGAAAAAAAGATTAAGAATATGATCAGGCAATTTGTACAAGGAAAAATAGAAATAATTGATATGACGATGAAAAAGGGACTCCTAATAGAAGATCACGAATAAATGCCAATTTTTTCCAATTTTTTTAAAGTGAGTTTTCATTTTTCACTCATCACATTGTCATATCCCAACATTTAAAGACAAACAATACCCCCTGGTGGCCAGGGAAGGAGAAAATGAGCTCACACTGCAAACATTAAGCTAAATTGGTTTGGGTTTTCTGGAGAGCATTTGGCCATCGATAACAAAAATCCCTCAAAGTAGGTGGTTTGGAGCCAGGGCTCCAGGGCCAGCCAGTCAGGGCAGATCCCAGTTATACTACTTGCTGGCACCAGGACTTGAATCAAGTTCCTTTCAAGGACTGCTCTATGTCTCAGTGACTAGTCGTTCAGTGGCTGTAAAGAGTTGCACCAGCTCCCTGACTGCTGTGAGGTTCAGCCGGTGAATATTCATGAGCACCTTGGACCAGTGCCTGGCACATCACATGGCTTTCATTATGATGTTGGTCCAGCAACCTCACTTCTAAGTATTTATCCTAAGAAAATCTTAATTAAGGGCACAAAGATGTATATACGCATTTATCACTTCATTATTTAGCAAAGGCCAAAAGTGGAAATGTCTGGTTAAATAAATTTTTGCAGACTTTACCTCATAATACTATGGGCCCATTAACTAGAATTATGTTGATACATATGTACTGATGTGAGCACATTCATATTCTGTTTTCAAGAAGGGAGGTCAAGCTAGGGAAGAATAAATATAATGGAACCCTAGGAAGGAGACATACATGTTTTTTTAATCAGAGCATGTATAGCTTGATGTTAACAATCATGTTAACCATGTTGACCATTGATTTGGGGGTTACTCAAATTTATTTTTCTTTTTTCATTGTCTGTGTCTTCCAATTTTTCTACATCAATCTCATTGTTCATATAATTTTTAAGTAATTTATTATGCTGCATACTGAGATGGTTAATCTCAGTCAATTTGACTGAGCTAAGGGATGCTCAAATAGCTGGTAAAACATTCTTTGTGGATATGTCTCTCAGGATGCTTCTGGAAGAGATGAGCATTTGAATCAGTAGACTGAATGAAGAAGATCCATCCTCCCCAGTGTGGGTGGGTATCATCCAATCCACTGGGGACCAGAACAGAATGAAAAGGCAGAGGAAGGATGAAATAGCTTTATCTTCTTGAGCTGGGACATTTATCTTATCCTGCCCTCAGACATTGGAGCTTCTGGTTTGGGGACCTTTGGACACCAGGACCCTTCCTTGTTCTCCAATCTGCAGATGGCCATGGGATTTCTCCATCTCCATAATCATATCAGCAAATCCCTATGATAAATTCCCTCTGTATACCTATATCCACACCTATATCCTATTGCTTCTGTTCCTCTGGAACCCCTGAATAATACACACATGTTCCAAAGTTCTTATCAATTTTGCCACACATTCTAAAATTGGTTTGAAAGTGGGGAGGGATAAGCAGCATAGAAATATAAAACTAATGTTAGTCTCCAAAGTAGATAGAAAAACACATTCAGAAACATATAACTTCATAGTTAACACTCAGGTACAGAGTCATTCTCAGTAATATCACTAGTGTCTGTGTGTTCACATGCAAACACATGTGCACACACATCTGTTTCCTTTGGGTTCCCCCTGAAAGCAAAGCCTGAGGCAAGGATTTGGGAACAGGTTCATTTATTTCAGAGATGCTCCCAAGAAGCGTAAGTGAGTGAAAAAAATGCAACAGTGGGGAGAAAGGCCAATAAGAGGAGCGCTAGTAAAAAGTAACTGCTGCAGGCAACTGGGATTCACTTCCACGGGGCACTCTCTGAGAAGCTGTGATAAACCTCAGAACTGTCCCACCAACGCACAGGCAAGCTGGAGCAATTACCCAACTCCCCTCCCACCTGGGCTGCAGGCTACCCTGGTAGCATCAGCTCTCCCACGCTTCAGGGTTACATCTGTAAATAGGCTACGCAGCCTCCCACAGCATCAGAGACACCCCTTGGCCAAAGAGCAGTGACCCTAGGATGCATGTGTGAAGTGGGTGGGCTGCCATCCGACATCAGCTCAGAGTTGCAGGAGACCCGGATGTGGTGGGGGCAGAGGAGACCTGGATGCGGATCCACCATCTTTCATACCTCCCTTGCCCAAACCCTGCTAATAGGAGACCAGGACTTTGTTGGGAGAATCCTGGGAGGCGGATGAACCCACCACACTTCCCACTCATTGCCCCTTCTCCTCCTCACACACTCACCTGCGACCAACACTGCACAGGTCCTCAGCTGCTCAAAGGTGTGAGAAACACAAAGGGAATTTACCCCCCGGCCAGCCAGAGCTGCACCAGCCCCAAGTCCCACATCATGACAGCCTGGTACTGCGGCCCCCTAAGCCTTCCCCCGACCCCAGATACCCTTTGTCCTCTGCAGTGCCTTTCCTCCCTCGCTTCCCCTGGTTCCTCCCACCAGAACTTCTGGTCCTGGCCATGTGTCAGAACCCAGAGGTCAAAAGAAGCCCGGATGGAGGGCTGAGGAGGGCAAGAGACCCCAGGTGAGGGGAGAGAGAGATGGAGCAAGACTGGCCATGAGTTTCATTCCTAATGGCTGAGGCTGGGTGTTGGGGATGTGCACTGATCACACTACTCCTGAAACCTGTGACCAAAGGGGACCCATCACAGCAGCAGAATGGTAAGTACAGCTGCAACTTCTTACCCAGCCCTCTCTTAGTTTGCCTTTACATTTCCCTTACTCTCCTCCTGCAAAGAGAGGTCTGAGGCTTGCCCTCCTGTCTCCCCATTTGGGTGCCTCTCCACTAAACCCTTTCCCTTGCTGCATACTCGAAGTCTCAGTCATTGTCTTTGCTGCCCGACAAATGGGCAGATGGACAGGGGTTCCTCTACGTGTGAGTCTTGGAGGCACAAGGCTGCATCTCCCTTTAGGCCAGAAATTGCTGTTGGACTCTGAGGAATGGAGTAGGTTGACAGGGTGGGGGCACTAGAGCCCAGCCCTTTCTCCCCAGTGGTGGTGGGGGGGTGGTAAGAGGGGTCCCTGCTCCACAGCTCCCACTGGGCTGGCGGAGATGTCAGCCCTGCCAGGCAGTCTGGGGGCTTCCTCTCCTCTCCCAGTGGTGGGACCTCCTCCACTCTCTGAGGACTCTCCCTGACCCTTCTGCTTCCTCCGCCTTCAGCCCAGCCAACCTCTGGCACTCCTAACTCCATCTTGGCAACCGCATCCCAGCAGACCTCACCTGACACGACCAAGGTGCACTCGCTCCACCCCCACTCTGACCCTGCTGAAGCTCCAAAAATAATGAGTACACACGAGTTGTAACCATTGTGTTATTTAAATGTTCACATATAATAAATTAAGCTCTTCACATTAAAAAAATACAGTGGTGGCATAGATAACTTAATTTTGGAGATAATATCAAAAATTAAATTTGTGGTCCTTTGAGCACGGGGTCCCATCCAGGTGGCTTTCCTTCCCTCCTACCACTGTGCAAGCACAGCCAGACATCAGCTCTGAGACCCTCTCCAGGACCGCCCCTTACAGCACTGGCTGGCTCGGGCTCTACTACCATAGCACCCTAAGCTCTGTCACTAGTTTAGCACCCTGTAATTCTACCCCAGTCACCTCTGCCAGCACCCCGATTCAGCAGGGAGAGGCTGAAGGGCCTGGCACAGAGCAAGCACTCAGTAAATGACTTTGGATCAGTCACTGAATGACTGACTGAGGCATGTGTCCCCACAAAGACACCATGCAGGATGCAGGATAAGACTCATCTACACACTGTTCCCACATATTCACAAAATGCCAGCAAATAAAGATCAAGGGGCTCCTTCAGGCCAGAGTGAACATGGAGGTGGGAAAGGAGACTGCTCATTATAACCCTTTATAACCCATTATAACCCTTTGTCAAGCCTTGGGACCCAGGGGCACCAAGCACCCCTGGTGCTCGGGAGCAGGACAGGTGGGAGGGAAGAAATTATATCCAACTTCTGCTCTGCTTCTTTCCAAAGGAGATCTCTTGGTTACTGGTGAAGACAAGAGGCTAGCAGCCTCTTCTGTTCAGGGAGCCCGCCTCTGGGGCAGGATCACCAACCAGGGATCCTGGGTCGGCCAGGGCTCCAAGGGCTGGCGTCAGACTTCTCAGGTGGCTTTGAGCGAGACAGGGGCTTTGGTTTTTCTCTCTGGCCCAGGTCCTGGGGGAGCTCTTCCAAGGAAGAAATCTCCAAGTCACTCTCAGCATCAGAAAGCTACAGGGAGGGAAGGGGGAGAGGAAAATGCATTCTGACAATGGAGGATGAAAATGCTGGACAGACATGGGGGCAAAATGCAGGTTTGGAAGGAGCAGGAGGGAGATGCTCCTTCTCCTGTTTGTTCCCATTTCCCTGTCTTAGAAGACCTGATTCAGAGACCCAGAGTCAGAGTGATTTCAAATGCTCCTGAAATCCCACTGGCCAAACCAAGGCAAGTTCTTTGGAAAGGCTTATGGCAAGTCAAGTTGCTCTTGTAATTTAAACTTTGTCCAGATTTGTTAATTCCCCACATTGATGGAGCTGAAAGCCCAGAGCATTGACTTTTCTGAATCCCTGAGCTGAATGCAGCCCAGGCTAATGTGCACCTCCCCTCCTCTCAGACAGCTGCTCTGGGGCCTGGTAAACACCCTGACTCAAGGAGTAGCAGAGACACTAGGATCTAGGAGACTAGACACTAGGAGACACTAGACATCTAGACATCTAGACACTAGGAGACACTAGCTCCAGAACACTAGGATCCCCTAGCCTGGAAAGCGGTTGGGCTGTAGCCAACGGAAAATCCCGAGCAGGCCAAGGGCCCAGGCAACCTCTGGGCCACGGACCCCACTCCAGAACTTTCAGTGCCCTCCTGGCCTTTGATAGGAACATCCTATGCGTTTTTTCCCAGAATGTAAGGCCAAGCAGCTAGAACCACCCTGGGCCCAGGGCAGCAGGCTCTGAGCAGAGCCTCCACCTGCTCTGGGACATAGGAGGAGGGACAAATACTTGTTTAATCATTTGGACTTCCTGCTCATGAACTGCACACAGCCTGCACAAGAAAACAAACACATTATATAGTAAGTGTATGATCTTGTGAGGACCAAAAAGTGATTGTCCACTCTCCTGGTCATCCCAAGAGGTGCCTTTTCAACTGAGAAGGGTGAGAGAGGAATGTGAAGTAACGAGCTCTGAATGTTTCTGCCTAAGCAGGTAATGGGCATGTGGGAGTTGTTCCCTGCCTGGAGGCAGTGGGGAGGGGGTCCTGGTGGTAATGGTCACAGAGGCTGATGGCAGCTAGAGTCTCAGAGAGGGAAGACCACCAAGACATTCTTAGTGATAAGGAACAGCCTTGAATATTCTGAACAAAGATCTCTAGATATTCCTGTTCTACGTTGTCACCTACTACGATGTGCCCCTCCAACACCCTGCCCTCAGAGAGAAGTCTTCTCTGCACACACAGCCTGGAGTTGGGGTCCGGAGCTGACTGAAGGAAGGGGGTGGGGCCCATTGTGAGATGAAGCCGAGCCAGAAGACAGTAGCTACTGCAAGCAGCCAGGCACAGAACCAGGCTCTGTCAGAGGCAGGACATAGGAGCATGAGTGACCAGGAGAAATGATCTGTTGAGCAGTTCCTTGTGTAATGAACCAAAAGGCTTCTTAACATCAACAAGGATATAAATAAGAAGTGGCCATCCCTCCCCCTGTGCAGGGGCAGAAGAGACAGGGAGGTCACCTGCAATGTCCCACTAGGGCCAAGGCTAACGCTACACCCCACCCCAGGGCCCCAACACTTGGAGTGGGCTCTATTAGAAATGGCAAGACAACCTCCAAGAGTCCTATGCCCTACCTGAGGCTTGTTTCCTGGCACGGCAGCCCTCTGCGGCCCAGTGTTAGGCAGTAAGAACAGACTGACCCCTCCAGAGGGCTTCTTCACTGGAGCTTCCAGCTGTTTCTCAAGGTTTTTGACCAGCGACTGTACTAGTGTTCCTGGAAGACAACCAGAGGGAAAATTCCAGAGAATGAATGCCTCATCCTTATAAGTCATGACCAGGCTCTGGTGTGGATAGAGGGAGTGTGGAGAAGGGTCAAAAGGAAGAAGGAAAGGCAGCCACAAAGAAGAGGGGCAAGGGCAGAGAGAAGGCCCAGGCCAACATGTGCTGGTGAAAAGAGGCTTTGCCCATCTTAAAAATATAACTTCAGTTAATGGCATGGCTGTGAACAGAGACTTAGGAAGCTGGTCTTCCCTCTTAATGGCAGGACCTCTGCCCAGCTGGTATATGAAAAGCAAGACTAACAGGCAAACACAGCCTCCTTCAACATCTTCACTGAGAAGACAAGAAGTATCATAAATGTAAATTATCACAGAGGGGCCAGGGGCCAGACAGGTTTTCTGCAAACTCCATGCAGGAAGAGGGCTAAGCAGGGACATAGACTATGAACAGACTCCTGGTGACATGCTAAACCCCGCAGGATGTCCAGGCCTCAGGAACACCAGGAAGCAGGGAGCTAACCACCACCTCATAGGGTTCAAATGTCTGAGGGCCTGAGCAGATGTCCGGGGCTACAAAAACCCTTGGTTCATTGATTCATTCAAGAATTGTTTGTTAAGGGGTGCCTGGGTGGCTCAGTCAGTTAAGCATCTCACTCTTTTTTTTTTTTTTAAGATTTATTTATTTGTCAGAGAGAGAGAGAGAGAACGCATAAGCAGGCAGAGGCAGAGAGAGAAGCAGGCTCCCCACTGAGAAAGGAGCCCGATGTGGGACTCGATCCCAAGACCCTGGGATCGTGACCAGAGCCGAAGGCAGTCGCTTAACTGACTGAGCCACCCAGGTGTCCCAAGCACCCGACTCTTGATTTTTGCTTAGGTCATGATCTCAGGATGATGAGATCAAGCCCTGAGTCAGGCTCTGTGCTCAGCGTGGAGTCTGCTTGAGATTCTCTCTCTCTCTCTGCCCCTCCCACGCCCCCCCACCCCGTTAACTCACATGGGTGTACTCTCTCAAATAGATAACTAAATAAATACAATCTTTTTAAAAAAAAAAAAAGAGGGGCGCCTGGGTGGCTCAGTGGGTTAAGCCGCTGCCTTCAGCTCAGGTCATGATCCCAGGGTCCTGGGATCGAGTCCCGCATTGGGCTCTCTGCTCAGCAGGGAGCCTGCTTCCCTTCCTCTCTCTCTGCCTGCCTCTCTGCCTACTTGTGATCTCTGTCTGTCAAATAAATAAATAAAATCTTTAAAAAAAAAAAAAAAAGAATTGTTTGCTAAGGGCCACTATGTCCAGGCACCATGTTCCTTACCCCTCATTGTCTCGTCCCAATACTTCATTTTACAGCAAAGGAACCAAAACCCCTCACTCAGACACAAGCAGGTAGCAAGTGACAGAGCCCAGACTGTCTCAGAGGACTCCTGACTCCTGCTTCCAAAATCTTTCCACCCTATCATCCCACCTGGTGGCTATCAGTACCTTCTGGCGGATTCTGGTGGAGTGGGAGGCTTGGAATGAGCGAGTGAGCTCCTCCAAACTCTTAACAGTTAAGAAAAAAAGGGGCAAAATAAACCTCTCAGATTCTTCCTTCTAATATCTCTGCAATCCCAAGAAAATATCTGATGGGAGGGAGGGTCATTCTCCCCAAGTTTCAATGAGTTGCCAAATCAGAAAACCCAGAGAAAATCACAGGGTATTTCCAGAACTAGAGAAATCTAGGCTGGAAAAGGACTGTCCCAGTGGTCCCAGACCACTCACCTGAGGAAGCCAGCCCGCCTGAGCCCTTGTTAGGGGGCTGGGCACTCCCCTCCGAGGTCTCGGTGTCAGACCAGTCCCAGTCATCCTCTGGCCGGGACCCCATCCTGGAGGGACCTCGTGGGGGCTGGAGGGATGTCCGCTGCACCGAATTTCCCTCCTCCAAGTCCTCTTCAGAACTGAATGGGGGAGTACTGTCATGGAGGGGAAGAAATGAGGCCTATATGGACCAGAAACACTTTAAAAGCCAAACCTCACCACCTGCAAGCATGTTTGGTTTGCCCTGAGCCAGCCCTGCTCCTTCCTTGGGCCCAGGTGACAGTCAGGAGGTACCCTGGAGCACAGAAGCCACACCAGCAACTCTGTTAGAAGATGGGGACCAAACCCTCCTGGTGCAGCAACTAAGGCTTAAGGAAGAAATAGGGAAGGAAGGGTAGGTTTGTCCCGCCTGGGACCAAAGGACGCTAGTCTCTTCATGGGGGCTTGGGAGGGGACCCCATCTGAGGCCCCTCCTGTTCACTTCTGTCTCCGCCCCTCACCTGTTTGCAGAAGCCTGTGGGAAGCCCTGGTAAGGACTGCCTGAGGCTGGGAGCTGCAGCCACAGACCCAGTAGGAATGCAGAGTCCAGGGCTCACCTCAGCCCAGGCCCTGGGGAAGCAGGGGTGCCGGAGCGTCCATGTGCTCTGGGACGTGGAGCGGGGGTGGGCATGTGGGCCAGGCCAGGGCCATGGCTGCCGCGGCTCTGAAGAGTCGTCGTGGGAGGCTCTGCTGGTTTGGATGGCGACGCCACATGCAGGTTCCTGGACTTCGCCTGTGCCTCTTTGATGACCAATGGGTTCTGCTGGCTTTTGACTAGAAACACAGAGAGGAATAAGTTCCAGGGCATGACCATCTAGGCCCTCGAGCCTGAAGAAGACAGAAAGAGAGGTTCTGGCCCACTAGAAATGGGACAAGTCACTCTGTCACTCTATACCATAATAGCCACAGCCAATAAAGTCCTTGCCCCCACTCCCAGCTGTCTGTCCTGCTGCTGGCTTGACTCAGGGTTGGGGACAGCCCATAGTTCCACCAGAGACCAGGAGAGCAGCTTGTGTTCCAGGGTCATGACATCATTCCAGGAATCCCACGGGAGTCGGGAGGTCTGAAGAGGGGCCCAGTTTCCCTGCAGCTTCACCCTGCAGTCCTAGAACCTGATCCCAGGAGCCCCACCCTCTCTACCCACCCAGGCTGCAGCTGCGAGAGTTCAGGTAACCTTGCAGGAAGGCCCTGCTGCCACCAGAGGTCGCCACAGGACCACATGGGCCACCCACATCCACCACTGTCCTCCCAAACAGGCGGGTGGCAGGAGGGCTAAAGGCAGGCCAGCAGACCCAGCGCCTCCCTCCTCTGAACTGCATCAAGTCCCATTGAGGCTGGGGGTAGGAGGAGGGCGAGGATCCAGGATCGACAATTTTTTTAATGGAAAGAGAAGCACATCGCAGGGAGTCAGAGTAAGTTCTCTTGCATGAAACTCTCGTGTGTGGACTGTCACAGTGTAAATGTGTTTCTTACTGTAGTTCAAGATAGGAAACGTCTGAAATACACTGCTCTCCGAGAACGCATTTACACGGAAGTGGATCTTCTAGGAGGGGCAGACTGAAGGGAAGGGAAGGCAGACAAACTGGCTGAGGGAAAGGAACGACGACAGCTAGTTACTGCATACCGACAGCAAGCTAAGCCCTCTACCTACAGCATCCACCGAGCCCCGAGCCCTTAGGACAGTGTTGTTCTCCCTGCTTTACCAAGGATTCAGGAGATCCAGGGACTCAATCAAGGCCCACAATTCCATGGAAGGAAGTGGTCAGTAAACTCAGGTCATCGGCCACCCCAAAGCCAGGGTTCTTGCTACTCATGGCCTTGCTTCATCCCACAGCTTTGCCCCAAAACAAAAAGAGGCGCAATCGAGGCAGAAATCAGAGGTGAGCATTCACATAGCACTCATGGCACCTAGCATGTGGGCATAGAGCTGGAAAGAGAGGTCTACAAAATGCTGTAAAAACACACTACTCCTCTCACACCTCCGAGACATGCCCTGGAGAAGGTGGGGCCCCTGGACCTGGGAAGGGGAGCTCGGCAAGGGGTGGTTCTCACTCTTGGCTTTCTGACCACAGGAGCAAGGGCTAGACAGGAGGGGGCACCTGGAGGAACAAGGTACCTTTCCTCTTTTGGAAGCCTGTCCTCAGAAGTTGCTTTCATTCCTCTTCCCTGCCTCCCTGTCCCCTCTCTCCTCTCAGCCCACGCACCCACACACCCCACCCCTATGCTTGGCCCCATCACACCTCCTAGTCTGGGCTGGTTTCCCAGCTGAGGTGGCAAGCCTTGGCACAGATCAGCCTCAATAGATTTTAAAATTATTGGTCCCTGTACCAACAAAAATCATCTCACATATCCCCAGAGAATGTGTCCACACTCTGGAAAATTCCTTAGCATGAAGACTTCAGGTTGGGTCTGCCTATACAGGAGGAGATAAGAGAATTGGTATCCCTCTGGCCACATATGAGGGAAAGGAGCTGCAACATCGTCCTGCACAAACAGCCTCGAACTCCTGAAGCCCTCCCTAGAGCCCCCAGTTTCAGCAGCCCGGTGGATCTGGGAATCCTCCAGAAATGGGGGATTCTCAAACCTAAGAACACAAATTCCCTTGCTTTCTCAGTTCCTTAAGGACAGAGACTAGAGGGTCCTCACCCACACATTTGAATTCTCCCCAAGAACCACTGGGCCTGTCCTTGTCACAAGCCCCAGGGGCAAATCAGGGACTGTGATCTGGCCCAGGGAACCACAGTCAAGCTCTGAGGATGTGTGGGCAGGCAGAACTCACCCAGCCTCTCAAGCCCTCCCACTGCTCCCCAGCAGAGTTTCCATCTGACTCCTATTTGCCTCCACCTGCAGCCCCAGTGCTCTCAGGCCTTGGGTCTTCTCCCGGCACTGACATGCCCCACTTCAGAGCCAGAAACAGAATGGGCTACACTCTGTTGGAGCAAAGTACAAGTTGTGATCAAAGCAAGTAAAGCAGTGTAGAGCCAAGGTGCTGAGTGGGGCAGCACGCTCAGGGCTGACCACAGGCCCAACTCTGGCTCTCCACCAACTTCCCTGGGTGACTCAGGCCCACTCCTGGATTCTGGTTCCCCCAACAGAGAACTTTTGGACTCAGTCATCTGTGAGGACACGCCCCTCTCACCCTTGAAAGTAATGCCCTGCTGGGGACAGGTAGTGCACCCTCCTTGTGTGCAAACCAGCCCGGATCCTCCCAGTCACAGCCCCCAGGGATGCCCTTTTGCTGGCTCACCTGGAGCCTTGGTGCCTGGCTGGGACGCTGGTGCCCTCTTCCTCTGTCCCATCTTCACTCTGCTGGTGGCTTCCTTGACAAGCTTTTCCCTCAGACTCAGAAATTCAGAAAACCTCCGTGCCTTCTGCTCCCTCTGGGCTCTCAGGAGGGACTCAAGGTGTCTGAGAGTTTGAATGGATATTCCCTTTGCATCCTAAAAAAGACAGACATTCCTCTTTGAAGACAGAAGCCCCCTCATCCTCCCCCAAAGCCTCTCGTACCTGCTGCTGGCCTGGGAGTCCCTGTGATCAGCGCTGTGTGTTCTCTGGGAGAGGATACGGTGAGTGTCAGAGCAGGGTGGGCAGGGGTGCACATGCTGCACAAAGTGTGGTGGTTTAGGGTCTGGGAGCCTTGTCAAAACATGCATGGTAGGCACCTGGGTGGGTCAGTTGGGTAAGCGTCTGTCTTTGGCTGAGATCATGATCCCAGGGTCTCGAATTGACCCCGGCATAGGGCTCCCTGTTCAGTGGGGAGTCTGTTTCTCCCTCTCCCTGCCACTCCCTCTACTTGTGTTCTCTCGCTCTCATTCTCTCTCAAATGAATAAATAAAAATAATAAATGGGCACAGAAGAAAGCAGCCCATGAGTGGAGAGCACAGAGAGGTCAGGACACAGGGTGACACCCCCAGCAACCACTAGAAACGGAGGAGAGAGACCATACTGCTGACATGAGGTAAGGAGAAGACATGTGGGCTTATATTCCCAGATATGAAAGGCTCCCCAGCTGGAACAAGTAAGATGAATAAGCCTATGCAGCTACGAGAAATCAAGCACTTGCCAGGTTAAGAATGCCACATATCCAAATGGTAGGCAGCAGCCTTTGCAGCTGTGGCCCCCGTGCTTACTCTCTTTATCCCCATGCTTTCCAGTTTCTCTTCTAGGGTGTCCTCCAAGATTGGCCTGAACTGCTTCAGCAGGGTGGGGTTTCGCCTCAGAGCAGCCAGCACATTCTGCTGTCCGTCTCGGGAGTCCTCCAGATCTGCAGCACACAACAATCCACCAAGGTCAGCCTGGGCACCCAAAACCTCCATTCTCAAAGTCACATAGCACCTGCGTGGCCCTCACCAGCCCATGACCCACGTCTCTGGCCAGCGAGCCCAGAGCCACGGACCCCACCTGAGTGTCCATCCCAGACACCGGCGATGTTTCTGCTGCTGGCTCCCACTGCTTCAGACCACCTACTTGCCTGCAGGATTCTCCTCCCCTGCCCGTCCGGGCTGCCAGGATCTGGGCTCAGTGCTGCCCAGGTGAATCTGGGATTTGTGGGCTTTTGACTTGCTCTTGAGCCCTAGCAGCAGCTTGTGGCCGAACTCCATTCCTCCCCACAACCCAGTTTTCTTGGGACATAACTGACACAGAGCAGCTTATACTTTTAAGGTGTATAGCATAGTGACTTGACTTTATTCTGAGATTATCACAGTAAGCTTAGTTAACACCCACCCTCTCATACAGATACAAAAGAAAAAATGAAACAAGTTTCCCCTTGTGATGAAATATCTTGGGATCTACTCTCTTAGCAGCTTTCCTGTATGTCTTCCAGCAGTGGTAACTCTGGTCCTCCTGTCCATGACCTCCCTGGCACTCATTTCTGCTCTCACGGGCAGCTTGTACCTTTTGACCACCTTCCTCCAATCCCCTTCCCCTACCCACCACCTCTGGTAACCACAAATTATGATCTTTTCTTCTACGAGTTTGGTTTTGGGTTTGTTTTGATTCTACATATAAAGGAGATGATATAGTATTTGTCTTTCTCTGTCTGACTTATTTCATTTCACATAATGCCCTCAAAGTCCATCCATATTGTCACAAATGGCAGGCTTTCCCCCATTTTATGGCTAAATAATATTCCATTATATATATCTACCTCAACCTCATTATCCATTCATCCATCAATGAACACTTAGGCTGTTTCTGTATGTTGGAGATTGTAAACCGCAGATTCCAGGCCCTGCCGGCTGCCAGCCCTGTGATCCTGGCCCCAAATGACACTCTCACCTACTGCTGTATCACATTCTGCTCCCATCCAGGGGATCGAATTCTCACGGGACAGACACCATAAACTCCCTTCAAGTTTACTGTCTCTAGAGATCAGGGACTCACCCTCCAAAGCAGTACACAGAAGGACCACAGGAGTTAAAAATGCATATTCCCTGGCCCCACCCTCCAGAGAGTCTGATTCCATAAGTCCAGGGAAGGACCCTGGAAACTGCACTTTAACTTGTCTAAACAATTATGGTGGAGGTGAGCCACAGACCATACTGTGAGAAATATGGACCCAGAGGATAATAAAATAAGCCATTACAATAAAATGTGGTCATTGCTGCAAAGAGGCCTTCCAAGGAGTCGAGTCTAGTGTGGGGTGGGCGGCAGGAGGGAGGGTGGGCACACTGCCCTTATAGCAGGACCAGCCCTTAGATTCACTCAGTAGACATTTTCTGACAAGTAATATGGAGAATGAACTGGCCTGTACTGGGGTGCTGGGGGGCACAGAAGAAGATCCTCAAGGGGCTCACATTCAAGAATGGTCATGTCAACTGTGGCCGCACATTTGAATCTCCTGGGCCCCATCCCAAACTAATGACATCACAATCTCTGAAGCTGGACCCTAGACCTCAGATCTTCTAACACCCAAGCCTGAGAACCAAGTGTTCTAGAGCAATGGTTCCCAAAATGTGAGCCTGAGTGATGGCACCACCAGGTAACTTATTAGAAATACGGATTTTCAGATCCCACTCCAACCCTACTGAGTCGAAAATTATGGATTGGGAACCCAGCAACCTGTGTTTTAGCAAGCTGCCCCCCACAAGGTTGATCCTCCTCCATCAAGTCCATGCTAGGGCGTAAGCCCCAACCGTGGCCGCACATCGGAATAACCAGGAGCTTTAAATACTACCGATGCCTGGAACCCACCTCCTATATGTTCTGTTTAAGGTTGGGGGGGTGGTGGCTGGTGGGGTCCTCGGAGAGTTACAAGTGACCTGGGTGATTCTTAATGTGCAGTCAGCTGCGGACAGCCACTGGTATGACAGTGGGGCTCCAACAAGCTCAGGATGCCCAGAGATTGCAAACATGGGCTGCTGGACCCCACCCCAGAATTTCTGACTCTGCTTATGTGGGATAAGGCTGAGAATCTGACAACTTTCCTTTCTAACAAGTTCCCAAGTGGTATTTGTCCTGCTGATCCGGGACCAGAAGAGGCAGGCCAGCATACGAAGAGGTCGAGCACCGTGTATCAGTGTGGGAGACACCAGCTTCATGTGACAAGTGGGATGGGTAGGGGTCAGCCAAAGCACCCTCCTCAGCTCCGCTCTCCACGACTCAGCAGCCTCTGTGGAAGGATTTGGTTCCTCCCCTCTATGGACCTCAGCAGGTCCAGTAATGTGTTGTGTTACTCAGCAGAGAGCTTCCCCCAACAAAGTTACATGTATCTCTAATTTGTACTTCTAAATTCCAAGGTTAAGTGCACAGGATGGGGGTAGGGAGTAGTAGAGGACTAATTAAATAAATTTTGGTGGGGCACCTGGGTGGCTCAGTGGGTTAAAGCCTCTGTCTTTGGCTCAGGACGTGATCTCAGGGTCCTGGGATTAAGCCCCACATCAGGCTCTCTGCTCAGTGGGGAGCCTGCTTCCTCCTCTCTCTCTCTCTGCCTGCCTCTCTGCCTACTTGTGATCTCTGTCAAATAAATAAATAAAATCTTTAAATAAATAAAAAGATAGATAAATAAATTTTGGTTCATCCATCCAACAGAATACTGTAAAGCCCTGCAAAAATAATGAAGCAACTGTACATAAAGGGACAGGAAATGATTTCCCAATAAGTTTTTGAGAAAATAACCAAATACAGAGTAGTATGTATAGTATGATCACATTTGGGAAAAAGGAGAAAAATGCATACACATATGTGCTTATATCTGCACCAAATATCTCTGGAAAGATAAATGAGAAAGCATAGCAGTGTGATCTCTGGGTGGAAACTGGATAGCCCGGCAGGAGGGATACCTACTTCTCACTGTACACACACCCTTTTGCTCACTTGCTCACTTGCTTGCTTGCTTTTTTTCCTTTTTTTCCAAGAGCATAGATTACTGTTTCAGAAGTAAAGGAAGAAATATTACATTAAAAAACAAAATTCCCATGGTGAACTCTTTGGTGACACAAATAAAACCCTTTCCTGGGTGCACTGGTTGGGTCACTTTTGTCATATCAGAGCCCAGCTCCAGAGGGCAGGCCCTGGTCAGCAGGTCAGCTGCGCGCACTCCCTGATCTCTCCTGGGAGCTCTTCTCCCCAACTCCCCCAGGAGCTCCCACAGTCAGAGGAACACTGCTATTTTTTTTTCCACTTCTTCTTTGCATCCCCTGAATTATCTGGTTGAGCTCTCTCTGCATACCAGACTCACCACCGAATGGACTGAATGAAAACAGAAGGTGCCCAGGACTGTGGAGAGGGAGCCCAGGCAGATTCCGAATCCCGCCTCCGCCCACCTGCCGGCTCTGTGACTCCAGGCAGTCACTGGTCCTCTCTGGGCTTCCCCATCAGTGAGCCATCAGATCGCACATTAAGGCTTGTGTGTAACCTCCTGGCACACACAAGGTGCTTAAAGTACTCATCTCATATTCCTACTTCCCTTCCCCGGGCTTCCGGTAGCCAGACACAGTGAGGGAGAGACAAATTAGACAAGGAGGACAAATCTAATGCAGGACGAATCCTGCATTAGACACCGGGGAAAGAGAGTCAGGCCTCACCTTCCTCAGAAGAGTCTTCTTCTGTGACCACAGCCTTCAGGCCCTCACAGGTCCCTGAGGAGAGCCCAACAGTTAGTGGCCCCGATGCCCCGGATACCATCCCTGACTTGGAGGAAAGCGCAGAACACCACATGACTACCAGCCAGAAAGAGCAAGCCTTCCAGTCATTTCTTCACCAGGAGAGGCAGGATGGATGGAGTTGCAGTCAGGAGCACAGACAGCACGAGCCAGAAAGACCAGAGTTCCCAGCCCAGCTTGCCCATTGCTGGTCCTTCACAACCCCGGGGCGGGGGGTTGGGGGGTCGGCTGTCCCAGAACCTCAGCAAGCCCCAGTCTCCTCATCTAAAAAATGAGGCTGATAATGCTGGGCCCACATTAAGAAGTGGGGACAATGTAATGAGGCAATGAATCTAAAGTGCTTGGCGACGCGCGTGGCACACATCCCAGCCCCAGCCCTCAGGACGTTCAAGGCCACAGGGAGGGTGCTTCTCTGACCTGCTGGCCAAGCTGGGGAAGGAACGTCTGACCTAGAGGCAGGGATTAGGGACAGGCATGTGGGTTTGCAAGAAAAGGCAGAAAGGTGGCTAAAGAGACAGGACAGAAGAAGTGGGAATCCAACGGGCCAGGTTTCATAAGGGCCTGGCCAAGGTCCTCCATGCAGGGGCAGTCTCCTGTGTGTTACTGGCTCCCTTTAGACGCCAGCACGTGCATCCATGAGACATTCACACACACAAGAAGCACACAGCAGCACACCAGGATACCCAGAGGAAGACTACACATACTCTAGACAGGCCACATTCATATTCAACTTGCTACACCCTGAGAGGAAGGTCAGTGTTGATGGCTCGAACCCTAGGCATGAGGAATTAGAATCTTTTCGTGAAAAGCTCCATCAATCACTGCCCGCAGGATCTTCACCATTCCCCGGGTCTCCACCACCCCACAGAGAAGAACAGGCCAGGCCAGAATCCATCTGTCTGTCCCAGAAGCAGATCTCTTCTTGCCCTGCCCTCCCTCACCCAGCCAGCGAGCCTGACACCCCATGACCCAGGAGCTGCTCTCACTGCCACACCCTCATTCTATAAACTGACTGGTGGGGGACAGGAGAGAGAAGAGGCCAAGACTATTAGAAAACACCCCATGAGAACTTACCCTCCTCCTTCCTGAGAGACATGGTCTGGATCTGCAAAGATACAGAACAGAACAGGCAGCCGGGAACCCTGCTCTGTACAGTAGGCCTGCCCAGCACCATAAAGAAGGGACAGTCAGTTTCCATATCCCCCACTGGGAACTAGAAGGAGCTCGGAGAACACTGCCCCAACCCCCCAGTACACCTCCTGCCATCCATATGTAAGGGGGGGTGATGGCACCGAGGTTGAACAGCAGCATCCATTATGGGGAGGCAAGAATGCCTCTCTTCAGAGAGGGACTGTTATTTGAAGGGCAGGAGCCCCACATGAGTGGAGTGGGACAGGCATACAGCAATACTGCTGGTACACTTGGTGGACAACCAGGGTGAGGCGGGCTCCCCCCACCATGGGGACATGAGCTGAGGGCCCCCTGGGCAGAAGGAGGCATGAGCTGAACAGTCATTAAACTGCTGAACCCTCCCTTTTCCAGAAGGTGCCTCTTCATCCTCCTTCCGCACAGTTGCACATGGGACAGCCACCTATGACAACGTGACCCCACACCACAACCATAGCCAAGTGTCTAGGTTGGGGCAGAGAACTCTGAATTGGAAACATGTGAAGTCAAGAGCCAGTGGCAGCCAACTGGTTTTGGGTTTGCTTGTTTATTGCTTGTTTGTTTGTATTGCCATATGGGGTTGGTATGACGTGAAAGCTGATCTTCAGAATAAAAGGAACAAGTTTAAGCAGATCTAGAGAAAAGGACAGAGACACACAGCAAAGGAAAACTCCTGACCACATTCATGTCTCTCATTCTAGTTAATCCCAGACTCAGCTGCTCTCCTGCCTTGAACTCTCTGAGACATCCTGTCTACCCTTAAGACAAATTTCCTCTTCTGCTTAAGCTTCAGTTGTTTTTTATTATCTACCGATGAATGACACATCCAATGCCAATTTCCAACTACTTCTTCCTTTGCCTACCTCTATTCTAGAGACTCTAAAACTAATTATTTGCCTTCTAACCTTCCTTGCAGCTATGGTTGCCCGTGTAATAGAGCTCTGACCAATAAAATATAAGCAAAAGTCTGAGGAAGGGGCCTTTTCATCAACTTCTTCTACTGAATATGGTTGTGATGGTTGGGGCTATGGCAGCCATCTTGCAATTATAAGGGTCAAACATGAAAACAAAAGTCAACCCACTGAAGATGGTAAAAAAGAAAAACTGAGTTTGGATTTTCAATGACATAATTTTGCTGCTAAACCAAGGCCATCAACTGTCACCTCTTTTGATGTTACAATACAAATAAACCCCTACTAACCTATTCTAAATCCAGGTTTAGCCAATGGGCTCCCTAGTGAAATATCTGCAAACAGGAGTCCCGGGTAACAGAAGGAAGAAATCTCCAGACTGGACCTGAGGTGGTCAGAGCAGTGAAGAGCTAAGTGGAGGGAGGCCCAGTAAAAAGAAAAGCAGACGAGAGGGTCAGATCCATTACCCGAGTGACTGGGTAGAACTGAAAACAGCTGGGAGAACTGAAAACACAAAAACCAGGGAGCGGGAACAAGAAGACTGAACTAGATAATGACAGGAGGCGCTCTGCTCAGAGAATCTGTGTGGAGGGGGTTTCAGAAGCAAGGCCCTGAGGCCACAGAGGGACCCCTCTGATGGCAGAGACACCTGTCCCCTGACCTGCAGCTCAGACGTGGGAGCTGAGCCCAGACTAGGCAGAGAGTTAGCAGCAGTAGGTCAAGGGGTCAGCTCTAGGAGAGAGGTGCTACGTGAGCAGATGACTTCTCACCATACTAATTTGTCTGACAACATCTTCAGCGGCCATTAATTTAGGACAAGTGTTTTGACCAGGAAATGATGTCTGAGAATGCAATGAAAAGAGCCCAAGTTTTGCAGTGCACTGCCTGGCAGGGCTGAATTCCCCCACTGGCTCTTATAGGGTGTGCTCTGTGGACTCGAGGGAGGTACCTGCTTCTCCAGCCTGTTCCATCATCTGTCAAAGGAAGATGGGGGGAAGCCAATGTCTGCCTTGAAGGGCAGCAATGAGGTTTAAATGAAGTAATACACCAAGTATCAAGCAGGTGCCGGCCCTTAGACAGTGTCTGGTGTTAGCGTGAACTTAGCTCAGCCCCTCCGGACAACAGGGCTATCTTCAGCCTGGAAAGAGATAGCCACAGCTTCATCATTCTTCTCTCTCCTGAGAGAGCCTCACTAATGAGACCACTGCCAATGAGTCCGGAGAATCAAAGGAGATCCTCACAGAGAAGAGGCCTAGGGGCCCCAGGGCCTGGCAAGGAGGAGGGACAGACCTACCATCTCCTCCTGGGAGGCAATGAGCCTGGCTTGTTCCTGGAGCTGGGCGCGGAGAGCACTGATCTGACGCTGGGACCGGGCGGCTTCTTTCCTCTGATCCTGAGACAGGGAGGCACGGAGCATCTCGTTCTGCTCCTGCAGCTGGTGGGCACAGGGGACTCGGTCAGTCAGGTGTTGCAGCGACCTCGGAGTGCCCGGGAGCTGCAGGGCCTGCTCTTGTAGGCACACGCTGGCCGCAGTTTCACCTGAAGTGGGGTGGGGGCTTCCAGACCTGGGCAGGTGGCTTCTAACAGGATGGACTACTTTCCAGTTTGGGCATATTTCCAAGCTGTGCTTGAGGGGAAGTGAGAATTGGATGCAGGCCCCTACAATCAGGGCAAACAGGCTTTCTGTCCAGCATGACCACCAACGGAAGGACAGTCAGATAACCTGAGGCCATTCATGAGTCATCCAATGGTGTTTTTAGGGAAAAACCGAAGGTGAAGAAAATACCATCCTGTGCTGTTTTAAGAGTAGAGAGAAGATGAGACTGTTTCTATTTGCATAAAGAAACTCTAGAAAAATACCCAAGAAAGCAGTATAAGTGGACAGACAGCCATGGGGTGGGTGCTGGGGGCAGGCAGACAGAGTTGGGGTGGAAGTGAACCTCCATGTATTTCAGTACACTGTACTGAGTGTGTGCCTTCATATGTTTCTTCCACTTTTGGAATAAATTAAACTGTATTTCCCATCTGAAGATGTTTCAAATAAAATAAAACCATCAAATGGTCGGGGCTCCTGGGTGGCTCAGTGGGTTAAAGCCTCTGTCGTCAGCTCAGGTCATGATCCCAGGGTCCTGGGATCAAGTCCCACATCAGGCTCTCTGTTCGGCCAGGAGTTTGCTTTCCCCTCTCTCTCTCTCTGCCTGCCTCTCTGTCTGCTTGTGATCTGTTAAATAGATAAATAAAATCTTTTTTAAAAACCCCATCAGATGGGAATTACTGGAAATGGGAGTGCCAGCCTCTGATCTGAGCACCTGCCTCTTCTGGGCTTTCTGTAGGCAGTACCTGGAGCTTCTGATAACCAGCTTCCTCCTCAACTTGCTTCCTCCTCAGGGGCATTTTCATAGAAGTTGTTTTCTCATCCTGAGGCCTGCTGCTCCCTATTACCCGATCTCAGTATTTGAGCCTTTCCATGTGGGCTCCCCTTGAATGATGGCTGAGGTTCTCTCCTGGGTGGGGTTTCAAGGAAGAGCCCAAACATGAAATGACCAGATAATGCATCTAAGGTTTCCAGGCCTGCTCTCTGTGGATGGCCTGAAGGGGTCCCTGCATAGGGGACCACAGAGTAAAGCAGGTGTTGGGTTCAGAAGACAAGTCCCAGAGGCCCTGACTCCTGGCCAGGAAGGCTGCTGTTTGGGCGGCTGACCCCTTCTGGGGATTGATTGGGGTCAGCCACCAGGAACACCATCAGCAACCAAATACTGGTCAGTTTGAGGAGGTTAGTGATAGAGGATGGGGGTGCCGTAGGGTAAGAGGAGGTCTCAGGAAACCCAGCTACCCCAGACCACCCAGAGTTACCTCTTGCTTCTGAGCCGCATGCTTTCCCTGAAGTTCCTTCATTTTTCTCTTCCATTCTGCATTCTGAAAAAGATAAACAGGACTCTGGATATCAGAATGTACTACAAAGCTACAGGAATTAAAAAGTGCTGGCTCATGATTAGGCAGAGTAGTAAAAAGAACAGAAAGCCCAGACAAAGACTAGGGGGTGGTGGGGGATAGAATCTTAGTCTGGGGGAAATAGATTATTGATAAATGGAGTTCAAACAGGTGGTTAACTGCCTGGAAAAAAATATATCAACTTGAATCTTTATTTCATATCTTAAACCAAAATAAATTTTAGGTGGGTCAAAGATTTAAACTTAAAAATTGGAAGTGATATCAATAAAACAGTACCATAAGAAATTCCAGCTCTCAAACCACCCACAGGTGCGGATTCCTCTGTGGGAGCCCAGGAACCCAGCTGAGAGTTTCTGGCACTTCGAAGGAGGAAAAACAACAACAACAACAACAACAACAACAAAAAACCTGGGAATAGATGCATTCCAGAGAAGTTTCACTTTACCTACCTCAGCTCTCCCCAAGGAGACACAGCTCGATGCCTAGAGAGACACCCCCTCAGCCTGCAATTTTTCCCATGAAGGAAAATGAGAGCAAGTGAGCACCCACAGCCCCAGCCTCATAGGGTGCTGCCCAGGAGGCCCACTTCTCTCCCCCGCCCTCAGAACCGGGGGACAGGGCAGAGCCAAATCAGCCTGTGGTGCCCGGCATGGGGATCTCAACAACCATCCACAGATCCGACTGGCTGATTTGTAGACACCAGGAGGTGTAAGACAAGAAGTATTTACATGCAATCAATATTAAGTTATTATCAGCTTAAAATAGACTGCTATACTATAAGATGGTTTATGTAAATCTCACACTAACCACAAAAAACCTATAGCAGATATGCAAAAGGTGAAGGAATCAACACATACCATTACAAAATAAAACCATCACATCAAAATGGAAGGCAGCAAGAGAGGAGGAAAGGAACAAAGTAACTACAAAACAGTCTGAAAACAATTAACAAAATGGCAATAGTAATTCCTTACTCACCATTAACTACTTTAAATTTAAATGGACCAAGTTCTCCAATCAAAAGACACAGAGTGACTGAATGGATTAGAAAAACGAGATCCAGCTATAGGCTGCCTACAAGAGATTCATCTCAAGGTCACACACAGGCTGAAACTGAAGGGATGGGAAAAGATATTTCATGCAAACCACAACCAAGAGAATGGGGTAGCTATAATTCTGTCAAAGGCTTTAAGGAAAAAACTGTTACAAGAGACAAGTCACTATATAATGATAAAGTGGCTAATTCATCAATATAACAATTGTAAATATAGAAGCATCCAAAATCAGAGCACCTAAATATATAAAGCAAATATTAATACAACTGAGGGGAGAAAGAGCAATACAGTAAGAGTATGGGGCTTCAATGGCCCACTTTTCAACAACGGAGAGATCATCCATGCAGAAAACCAAAAGGGAACACTAGACTTGAACGTCACTATACACCAAATGGGCAAGACAGACATATACAGAACATTCTACCCAAAAGGAGAACCACCTATGGAATGTGAAAAAATATTTTGCAAACCACATATCTGATAGGGGGCTCACATCCAAAATATAAGGAACTTCTACACCTCAGTACAAAAAGAAAAAAAAATTAATAGACAAAGAGTCTAAATAGACATTTCCCCAAAGAAGGCCTACAACATTAGTCATTAGTGAGCACAAAAATGTAAATCAAACCACAATGAGATATACCACACCTTACACCTGTCAAGATGGCTATTATTAAAATAGATATAGGTAGATAGATAGATAGATAGATAGATAGATAGATAAAACAAGTGTTGGTGAGGATGTGAAGAAAAGAGGATCCTCAAATACTGCTGGAGGGAATGTAAATTGGTGTAGTTATTATGAAAAACAGAGTGGAAGTACCTCAAAAATTAAAAACAGACTTATTCATTTCCCCTGGATATCTCCCAGGTAGACATGAGATGTATTTGTTAATAAACTTGTTTGTTTTTATGTTATTAAAAAAAAAAAATTTAAGGGTGCCTCAGAGGCTCAGTCAGTTAAGCATCTGACTTTTGATTTCAGCTCAGGGTCATGAGATGAGCCCCACAATGGGCTCTGTGCTCTGAGTAGAGTCTGTTTGTACCTCTTCCCCTGCACCTCCCCTCTCTTGCAAATGCCCCCTCTCTCTTTCTCAAATAAAATAAATAAATAAATAATTTTTAAAAATTAAAAACAGAACTAACGTGTAATCCAACAACCCCACTTCTTGATATTGATCCAAAAAAACTGAAATCAGGATCTCAAAGAGATACTCTCCCATGTCCATTGCAGCATTATTCACAATAGCCCAAACAGGGAAACCTAATAATCCACTGATAGATGAAAAGATAAAGCAAACATGGTACATACATACACTGGAATACTATTCAGTCTTAAAAAAGAAGGAAATCCTGCATCAACATGAATGAACCTAGAGGACGTTACGCTATGTGAAATAAACCAGACAAGAAAGACAAACACTGTATGATCTCACTTACTTATGGAATCTAAAACTCATAGAAACAGTGAGAGAATGGTGGTTGCCAGGGGTTAAGATGGGGAGAAAGTGGGAAGGTTATGGCCAAAGAGTACAAGGTTTGTTCTACAAGATATGTTGTATATTTAAAATTAGCTAAGAAGGTAGATCTTATGTTGTGTTATCACCACACACACAAAGAAAATAATAATAATAATAAAGAGGGTGGGAAGAAACTTTGGGAGGTGATAGATATGACTGTGCCCTGATGTGGTGATGGTTTCAAAGGTAAATAATTATTCCCAAACTCACTGAGTCATGTACACCAAATATGCACAACTTCTTACATGCCAATCATACCTTAATAAAGAGGGATGTATGAATGAAGGAATAAATAAATAAATAAGGCCTTAAAGGAACTAAAAGGAAACACAGAAACATTTTCTTTTTAAACCTCAGAGTGGCCATATACAAAAGATTGATAATTTGATCATTTTGACCACATAAACATTATTAATTTCATATGGTCAACAAAACTGGAGGCACAATATTGTGGGGGAAACAACCACAAGAACAAGGACGCCTGGGTGACTCAGTCACTTAAGCATCTGCCTTTGGCTCAGGTCATGATCCCAAGGTCCAGGGATTGAGTCCAGCATTGGGCTCCCAGCTCAGCAGGGAGCCTGCTTCTCCCTCTGCCTGCTGCTCTCCCTGCTTGTGCACTGTCTCTCTCTCTCTGACAAAAATGTAAATAAAATCTTTTTGAAAAATTAAATAACCACAAGAACAAGAAAAGTTTGGGTTAAGGTCCGTATCATAGAAACTCTCAAATTGGTAAGGAAATCCATAGAAAAAGAGGCAAATGATGAGAACAGAGGTCATTTCTTAAAGTGAAACCTGTAAAACATCAAGCAGTAAAAACACTTTACCAATCTCAGTTAGACTTTAAGCTCTTTCTCCACAATCTTAGCAAGCAGAAAGAGAAGCACGATCTGATAGAGTGATCAGGTCCTCCCTTGTCCTGGAGTGATCAGTGATGCAGACCAAATGTAGCTGGACTGTTGTAAGATTCCTCCAGTGGTGGCCGGAACCACCTCCTGCAGCCTCAGGAAAGCAGACTGGGTGCCAGCCTCTCCAACTCCACACCCAGGGGCCTCTCGGCGGCAGCATGAAATCGGCCTGGGTGGGAAAATTTACACCATGGACAATGGCAACTGCTAAAAATTAAAGCTTTTTTCGGTCCAGAGAGTGGTTGTTGGATATTTACCATCACTCACAAGACCCACCGGAAATGCCTTCAAAACAGGAGACTGTCACACTTCCTTAGAGTTGTTTTCAACTGGGTTGGAACCAAAATGAGGGTGAAGGTACCCAGTAAGGGACATAACTGTATGTATTTTGAAAAGATGCCAAGCAAACCTGATATTGCTCCCATGTATATACCAGCCTCACCTGAGAACCCTAAGAATCTGATTCCATGCTTTCATGCATCGGCAGAAGGTCTGCAAAGGTAAAACCTGATGTCTTCCACATGAAAAAATGCTCAACATCATTAGCCATCAGGGAAATATGAATCAAAACCACAATGAGATACCACCTTACACCAGTCAGAATGGCAAAAATTAACAAGACAGGAAACAACTGTTGGCAAGGATGTGGAGAAAGGGGAACCCTCCTACACTGTTGGTAGGAATGCAAGCTGGTGCAGCCACTCTGGAAAACAGCATGGAGGTTCCTCAAAAAGTTGAAAATTGAGCTACCCTATGACCAAGCAATTGCACTACGGGATATTTACCCCAAATATATAGATGTAGTGAAAAAAGGGGGTATATGCACCCCAGTGTTTATAGGAGCAATGTCCACAATAGCCAAACTGTGGAAGGAGCTGGGATGCCCTTCAACAGACAAATGGATAAAGAAGATGTAATCCATATACACAATGGAATACTACTCAGCCATCAGAAAGGATGAATACCCATCAACATGGATCAACATGGATGGAACTGGAGGGGATTATGTTAAGTGAAGTAAGTCAAGCAGAGAAAGACAATTATCACATGGCTTCACTCATATATGGAACATAAGCAATAGCACAGAGGACCATAGGGGAAAGGAAGGAAATCCAAAGGGGGAGAAATCAGAGAGGAAGATGAACCATGAGAGACTATGGACCCCAGGAAACAACCCAAGGGTTTCAGAGGGGAGGAGGGAGTGGGGTAACTGGGTGATGGGTATTAAGGAGGGCATGTGCTGTGACGAGCACTGGGTGTTATAGCCACTAATGAATCACTGAACAATGCATCAAAAACTAATGATGTACTATATAGTACACACTATATATGTACTATATAGTGGCTAACTGAACATAATATAATAATAGTAATAATAAAATAGAAAATATCAAACTGCATAATGCATAGAGAAGATAAATATTGTTTTGTTTAAAATATATTACCATTTTATTTGTTCATACATGAACACATCAACATAGGTCTATCTGCATATGTGCACATATATGTAATAGTAAAATGTAAAATTTTCTTACCGTGCATGAATTCAAAAAATTTTAAAGGTTAAAAAAAAAAACAGAAACAAAACAAAACAAAAACCTAATGTCTTCCAAATTCCATAAAGCCAAGAGCAAAACTGAGAGACTTTGTTGATAACCATATGGCTGGCTGTAGGGAAAAAGGAAAGAGCCCTCAGCTCACCTGAACATCCATCTTCTCCCTCAGGACCTGGAGCTCCTGAGTCTGCCTGAGTCGCTCCTCAGACTCCTCATCCCGCAGTGACCCGAGATTGGACTCCACCACACTGTGGGACTGCAGCACCTGCAGTTTCTGAAAAGCCAGGGCCCAGTTTTATTCAGATGAAGATCTAATCTCGATGTTGTCTTTTATACGGTCAGAAGGGCCCACCTCACCCCACCACAAACTCCAGCTTGTCTTCACCGGACATCTATGTGCCTGCATATACTCACACAAGTCTGCATTCCCCTCCACAACGGTTCCCCTGAGAGCTCAGTGCTTACACAGGAGAAGCAGGCACCCATGGACAAACAGAATTCAAGAGCAGAATTTCAACTGCACTGAAATTCAACTGTACCCAAAGCCCAGAGCTCACCAGACATTTCTGCCCCCATGTCCCCCTCAGTCTTGAATAGGCTGAAGAGAATCAGACTCTTAGAGGCTTTGGGAGGGTCTCATGCACTCTGGACCATTCCCTGAGCACTCCTGTCCCTCTTCCCATCAAAAAATGCTGGCTGTCACCAAGAAGGCCTGGCTTGGCCTGGCTTGGAGTGGTGTCACCAATACCTAGTGACTCCTGAGCATGCAGTGTGTAATCTGAAGGAAAAGGCACAGAAAGGGGGATCCAAGAGAACAGGCCTTGCCACCTGTGGTTACACTTTTAAACATACCACTTCTGCAGTCACAAAAGCAAATTATCTCCATCTCTATTACCACACCAAACTCACAAGCCCCCCATTAAGCTTTAAAGAACTGCACGTCCCTGAGTTTAACTTGTTACCATTCTTCAACTCTTCTCGACTGCTAAAGCACTATCAGGTAAAATCTTAACCATTTCTAATTGAGTATTATCATAGAGTAAAATGCTTTTTCAAGTGTATATGCAACCCTCAGCTTCTGATGTGTCATTACTGCCTTCACACCGATGTTTAGACAACCAGAGAGCAGGCTTTCTCGGCATCACAAACCTTCATGGCAATTTCCATTCAACTAGGGACTCCTTTGGCAGCTGGATTTACCCCACATCTTCTCTCAAGTTCTCTCTGCAGTCAGGCAACTTAGCCAAAGTAAGCTCACAGGCCTTGGTATCAAAGAGAAAATTTTGAGGAGAAACATCTTCAAGAAGTATTTCCCTTTCATTGGCCCTCCTAACACCAAGGGGAATCTTTTCTTGTGTAATGAGACAGACGGTCTTACTGTGTTATTCATTCCCATGGTAAATGAAATCTTATCTTTTTCTCCCCCAAATAAGAAGAAAAACTAACAAAATAATTATCCAAATACACTGAGAAGTGTGTATCCAGTTTGGTTCCTATAATAATAAAATGTCACTTGAGAGGAGATGGGGGAGACATACGGACACAAAAACACAGCATAAGCAATCCTATAGAGGAAAAACCAAAAAAATGATATTCTGGTTTAGGAAAATGTGATCCAAGTTAAAAAGAAACCATGGATGGTAAGAATTATGTCCTCATTTGCCAAAATTTCGAATTTCTGAACTGAAGGAACCCTCTGAGGTGGTTTCTGAACAATAACTCCAAATTCAAACCAATACCTATCAAATGTCTAGTCAGCTAACACCATGTTGGGGGAGGAATGGGAGTCAGCAGGGGTGTGGGCGAGCTCAGGAATGATGAGCACAGAGCTGGTAAGAGCATGAGCTCCATGGGGTAGAGTGGCATCTTGTCACCCACATATCATCCCTTACCGCATGCGGGAACATTTAAGATGGGAGGACTTGGGTCACTAGAGATAAACACACACACACACACACACACACACACACACATCATCTCAACCCCAAGCCTTCCCCATCCTTGACTTCCCATCTCAGATTGAGATAATGGACCACCCAAGATCCCACGCATATCCTATAACGATCTCCTCCTGGAAAAGTTGTCCAGGTGTTTCTTTAGCAAAACATAGGATGATTGTGAGAAATGAGATCAGACAGTTCATTTTCAAAAACAAAAACAAAATTCTCCTTGATGTTAGAAGGACCAATACTTAGAGCTAAATATATTCTGAACATATTTCTCCTCAAAACATTTTCAGCCATACAGTCATACAAGCTTATATGGGAAGATATAGTCCAGGGATAATAACCTATAATAAGGTTTTCCTGAATAAACCTGACAGTAGACCCAGAAGAAGAGCAGAGGCTTTGAAGTTTCAAAAGTTAAGTTCAAATCCCAGGTCTACCTCTTAGTAGCTGTGTGACCCCATAACATGGGGCCTCAATGTCTTCTCCTGCAAAGGAGGAATGATAATAGCTTTCTTTTAAGGAACTTTAAAAAAGAAATAAGTAAACGGATAATGTACCTACTTTGAGAATGTTATGGTTGTTTTGTTGTTGTGAGGATTAAAAGTTAATGTATATATATAAAATGACCCACACAGGGACTGGAAACCAGTAACTACAGTCAGTAAATCTTACTATTATGTGTGATCTCCGCAGACCCCAACAGAGTGCCTGGCAGGTAGGCAGCACTCAACTCACAACTTGCTGGGAGAAAAGTGCATTCATTTAAATTCCGCCTCACCTCTTGTCCAGTGATGAAAGAAAGCCCTTTGCAAAAATAAAGATAATGTCTGGGAATTTCTTACTACATACCAGACAATGTTAAGTGCTGTCTATGTGCTAATGTAGCCCTTTCAGCAGCCTATCTTACAGAAAAGAAACTGAGGCACAGGAAGGTTAAGTAACTCACCTAAGGTCACACAGCCAATATGTGACAGAACAGGGATTCGATTGCTGGCACCGGCCTCTGTTATCCGGCCTCACATTATATTAGCCCAAATGGCAGATGAAATAAAACTAGTACAAACTAAGAAATAAATTTTGAGAATAAACAGCTTTTTAACAAAAGAACTTTGAATGCTTTTGTGTTGGGTACCTCTTCTAGCGCAGAGTTATGGTTGGCAACACTTTTAAATTCATCCCAAAATAATTTTTTTAGCTTGTCTATTTCCTCATATAGCTTGGCCCGCTCTTTTTCTTTCCATTCATCAAATTCTTTCTTAGCTTCTATTTCCTTCTGACGGGTAATCTCTGCTTCCTGGAAAGAAAAGCAAGAACAATAGACTCATTAATTCCACATTATGGCAAATATTGATTGAGAAAATGCTAGGGCTCCTTGTCTGGGCAAGTCACTATGGAGACCCAAAGAATATTCATTACCACAGTCCCCATCATTTGGTCATGGAGCGGGATAAGTCTTATCTGAACTGTAAAGTCCCTTGAGGATAGGGACCCTGTCTTTTCTCTCTCTTTGTTCGAGGCATAGTTGACGCTAGATAAATGAGGAATGATAAAATGAGGAAATGAATGAAGAATGACTACATGAAGGAAGGGGTGAGGCAAGTTTACATATTTTCATTCTACAGTTATCTACTAAGTGCATCCCTGAGACTGGACTTTGGAGTTTATCCAGTCTTTGTTCTCAAAAAAGTGAACCAGCCAGGTAAAGTAAGAAGCTAACATTCTGGTCCAAATGCCCTCACAGGGTGCCGGAAAAGGCAGGAAAGTGAACTTCTCCGCTTTACTTTTGGTCATACAGATCTGGAAAAATAATTGAGTTTTCCTTCCCAGACAACCCAAGATCATTTGCCACACTCAGGAAGATGCCACCCTGGCGCTGACTCCCAGCAGCAGAAAACCAGCCAGACTTCTGGTCCTGTGGGAGACAGGTGCCCCATGGGTCTCCTGGGTAGTCCACAAGCGGCTCTCCCCAGTGCCTCCTCTCCGCGCCCACCTGCAGCTGCCGCTGCCTCTCCGCCTCCCTCTGGGCTTCCAGCTCCCCTTGGGTCCATTTTAGCTTGGCCCGCAGCTCTTCCAATACCTCCTCCACTGGCTGTTCCTGCTTCTTCTGCTTCTCTGTGGGGTCCATGAAAAGAAAGGGCGGCCAGTTTAAGTGAAAAAGTGAGTGGAGCACCGTTCCTCACCTACGCAATCAGCCACACCTCAGGCTGAGACCAGCTCTGCCACTTCTAGTGGACATTGACCAGGGGCAAGTGACTTAACCTCCCCAACCCTGTTTCCCCAAGTTGGAAAATGGGGATAACAGCACCCAGCTCAGATGGGTTGTTGTGAGGATGAAACGTGATAGTGCAAAGTGCTTAGCATACTGCCTGGCCTGACAGCTCCATAAACGTGAACTATGATTGTCATTGAAGATAACTATTTCGGCAGTCCTGACTCATGCAGATGTAAACGCGAGATCAGTAGAGTAACAGAAGCAGAATACGAAATAGCACATGCACAGTCATTATTGATACAAAGAACATATCAATGGGTCCCGACAGCCATCAGAGAGGAGTTGAACATAGTGAAGATAATTGTGGTTTGAAGTTCACTTTGTTCAGAAACACAGCAAAGTATTAAGTTTCAAATGAAAAAACAAAAAAAGCATGTATTATGAAGGAAAATTTCAGCCAAGGTTGCTTTAAGTGCATGGATGCTTTAATTTTTCTAAGATTAATAAAAAAGAATGAATCGTAAGAGAACATTCTAACTAAACCACATACTTATAAACCAAGGGTTACAGGTTAATGAAAAAGACACCAATTGTACTTGAACATTTGTTACTTTTCAAAGTACCTTTAGTTCCTATTAGATAGGTGGCATCATTATTAAAACTCTAAGCCTGTCTCTGAAATGAGATACGGTTTTCCTCAGACTGGACTTTTTGGAAACAAGCAATTTTTAGATGTAGTGGAAATTAATTTGGGTTAACAAAGTGATTTGAGATAGCATGAAAAAGGAGAACAGCGGTATCTGAAAAGCCAGCTGCCTGAAAATAAAAAGATCATGAACATTAATTTAGCAAAAGTTGCCTTAAGAACATATTTTCCCTCTCCTTCAGCACTTAACCTTAAGAAAATAACAAGGAATATGCACAAAGATTTACATACAGGAATGTTGATCATCATATGATTTCCAAGAGGGAAATTTATGAGTAACCCATATAAAGTACAAAGTAATTTAATTGTGAAATAAATTATGATAGTCAGAGGATGGGATACTATTCAGCCATTAAAAAGCATATTTTCCAAGATGACTAAATGACATTGAAAATGTAATATATTCTTAATAGAAGATAAGCAACAGTTAAAACTGCATAGTATAGGATTATATACGTACACAGAAAAATAATGACATAGAACAAACCAAAATATTAACTAACTGATACTGTCCATGGTTTTTATTTTCTCTTTTCTACCCTTCTGTATTTAAATTTTCCAGGTCAAGGGACACCTGGGTAGCTCAGCCAATTAAGCGTCTGCCTTCAGCTCAGGTCATGATCCCAGAGTCCTGGGATTGTGATCTACATCAGGCTCCTTGCTCAGTGGAGAGCCTTCCTCTCCCTCTTCCTCTGCTCCCCCCGCTTGTGTGCTCTCTCTCTCTCTAGCATATAAATAAATAAATAAATCTTTTTAAAAATCAACAAACATTTTAAAAAGATAAATTAAATTTTAAAAAATTTTCCAGGTCAAAGACATTTTTTCCAGCTTTTTATTGTGGTAAAATATACATACTATAAAATTTAGCATTTAACCATTTTTAAATGTACAGTTCAATGGTGTTAAATGCATTCATAATTCATAATGCTGTGCAACCATCACCACCATCCACTTCCATAAGTCTTTTCATTCTTGTAAAACAAAAACTCTATATGCTTTAAATAACTCCCATGGACCCCCTCCCCCGGCCCCCCACAACCATCACTTTACTTTCTGTTTCTATAAATTTGATGACTCTAGGTACCTCATATCAGTGGAATCACACAGAATCTGTCCTTTTGAGACTGACTGACTTCACTTACCATAATATCCTCAAGGTTCACTCATGTTGTAACATGTTCCATAATTTCCTTTTTAAGGCTGAATCATATTCCCTTGCATGTATACACCACATTTTGTTTATCTATTCATCTGTCTATGGACATTTGGGTGCTCCCACATCTTAGCCACTGTGAATAATGCTGCTATGAACATCGGTATACAGATATCTCTTCAAAGACATGTCTTTTTATCAGAAAAATTCATTTAAGAAGTAGAAAATCTGTTTTTCTTTAGCAGTCTCCAATACAGAGCCAAGAAGAATTAGATATATAATAAATGCATAACAATTAGGTAAATAGTGCTGTTTTAAAACTCTAAGTCTGCTCTTTGAAAAGGAAATTAAAATGACAAAAATAAGAAAAATGTTTTATTAAATGGGATTTTTATATTTATATGATGTATATTTTCATATTTATATTTATTTTATGTGTTAACAGTTATTTCTTATGAACCACAAATATAGATATAAAGTATGTAAATCTCTTTATGGGGGAACATACAGTCTCCCTACTTGTTTTGGAATTTGAAATGGTAAAATCAAAGTGATTAAGTCATAATTAGCTCATGTACATACAAAATGTCAAAAACCTGGTCTAACTGCTCATTAACCCCATTTAAACCCCTTCCTAGTTAGCATCAGAAAATAGCAGATTCATGGGAGACTGGAAGGTGAGGACCCTTCAGAGTCATGCCATTTGACTGCCCCATTCACAGCAAAAGCCACTGAGACTCTGAGGAGGTGCATTGACTGTGGTCACATCATAGAAAGGAATAGAGCTAACACCAGAACTTACCTATCTGACTCCCTTCTTCTCTACACACATGGTCAGAAACCCTCCCAGGCCCACACGGAATGGATGCCCCACCACCCCATGGTAGATGGTGAGATCATCCCCTTCTTTACTGGATGATGAGGTCTGAGGACAGCTGTGATGGTCTACATGCCCCACACCCACTGCAGACCAGCCCAGACTCTTCGACCGTCCCAGGAGGGCCTCCTGGACTCACCGCCTTCTGCTGTGCCCGTGTGCCTGCGTTGGATGTGGCCCCGGAGGAAGGTGGCATTCATGAACGTCTTGTCACACAGGTGGCACTGCACAGAAGGGAAATGGTGGTAAGCCAGGATTACATCACCTGGCTCAACCTGGTGTCCTCCCAATATCAAAATTCCCATTTCCGTGGGCTTCCAGGGCTGCTTCAGAAATGAAGATTTGATCTGAACGCTACGGTGCCCTGGGGACCGGTGAGCACTGACTAGGTATTTGAGGACACCAAGGAATTTTTGTTGGTTTTTTCAAGGCATGATGATGCTCTTGTGTTTATATTTAAAAGTGAGAGTCCTTGCCTTTTAGAGATACATACTGAAATAGGTATAGATAACACCATACACTTAACACACTTCAAAGTGACACAGGGGTGAGGCAAGTGGGTAGGGGACACAGGCAAAAATATCGATAGTTGATAATGATTGGGCTGGGTAATGTACAGATAAAGGTTCATTACACTACTCTCTCTTTTGTACACATTTAAAAATTTTCACACTACAAAGGGAAAAAAAAAAAGAAAGCCAATGCCCAGGTCCCACCCCTGGGGTTGAGAACAACCAGAGCAGAGGATAGAAAATAATAGTATCTCTAATTCCACTTCACTCTCCTCAAGCATTTCAGACACTGCCAATCTATCATATCATCTTTTCACTATAAAACTTCAAACTTTCTCCAACACAACAAAATTGCAGGTTGCCAATCCTACTCAAGCAGACTAAGAGGACAGATCATTTGCGATCTTTACACAAATGTGACAGAAATTGCCAGTTGTCCCCCAAGACCCATTTTCCCTCTTTCCTCAGTAATAGAAACCCTTATTTTTAGCTGGTCATAAGGTTAATGAGAATAAACACTTTATGTTCCAACCTCCCTTGCCATGTGACTAAATTCTGGCCAATGACATGTAAGCAGAAGTGATAAATGCAACTTCTAGAAAGTATCATTAAGGGAGTTAGGACCGTACAGTAGCAGCTCCTTCTTCCTCTGACAACAGAACTCCCAGTTTTCTTCAGGGGAATTACCCTGCTCCTCACTCTCCATCCACAGGCTTCTGTCCATCCCCAGCTCCAAGGGGAGACATGCGACCTAGACCAAAGCCAGTCGCAATCCTGAATTCCCAGGGACCTGTGAGTGGCTCCCAGATGGGTAGGAGATCAAAAACAGCCAAATACAGGACACAGTGAAAAATGGCCCAGGTCTCTGGGACCAAAGTGGGCCTTCTATCATGCCAGCCTTGAACCTGGGAAAATGAGATACTGGCACTGGTGGCCCAACTTCCTACCACAGACAAACTCTTTCTGAGAATGGAACCCACACTAAAGAAGAGTTGCCAACAGCTACAGAAAAACAAACTAATTTCTAGTGCCATCATCTGATTCCAAGGATAAGCCACATGTGAGTCCCACCAGAGCTCTGGATTTTTCAGTTAAAGTAACCAATAAATTCTTTATTGGCCTAAGCCAAGTTAAACTGCTGCTCTGGCATTTACTACTGAAAGGATTCTGACGTTTTTATCATAATTAACATTGTATCATATTATTCCTTCTGTCCCACCCACCCCCAGACTATGAATTTCTTGAACACCTGAGCCAGCATGACTTGTGCCTGCCTCCTCAGAGCGTGGTCCAGGGCCAGGCCCCCACGGCAATTCATGAAAGTGCAATGTCCCCAGGCCACACTTCATGCAGATGCAAATGTTCATATGCCACTCCAAGTAATGAAATGTCACTAGGTTGAATGATGGAGTCACTTTCGGGAATGGGCCTGGCGGAACCACAGTACCAGTCTCTTACTACAGACTGATTCTACACACACACACACACACACACACACACACGCACACACGCCTTTTTATATCACACTGCTACATACACACACAAACCTTTCAAACACACACACTCACACCCTCCATAAATACACACACCCTTACACACATATATATCCTTCATTCATTCATTCATACACACACACACACACACACGAACCATAAATATATCTTTAGGTGCATACTTCACACACAAACATACATTAGACACCACACACTCTACATACATATGTACACATATCCAAACATTCACATGGTAGACACACATATTCACACTGTCCTTAAACATGCACAACCTCTACATTCACACCTGCACGCCCTAGACAGGCACCCTCTCCACAAACACACACATATATTATACACACACATCCTTCAGATACACACTTGCCTCCCAACACACACACACACACATGCTGGAGAACTTGATGAGACATCTCTAACATCTGCTCCTCACCCCAGAAAGCAGGGCCCACAGTAATCCTGGGACCCAGGGTGCTGGTGCCCAGATGGCCAGGTGGTGACTAAGCCCACAGCCCTCCCCCTCCCCGACCCTGCAGAGAGTCCTCACCGCGTGGTAGCTGTGGGCCCCCGTCTGCAGGAGCAGCTGCTGCAAGGTGCCAATCATCTTGCGACGCCGTCGGCTCTCCTCTCTCACACCCCTGAGCTCGTCGGCCTGGCGCCCCAACTCCTGCTGGCCACGCTGCTGCTGGCCCAGGCTGGCCTGCAGCCGGGCCTCCAGCTGGGCGACGCTAGTGCTCAAGCAATCCTGGCAGTGCAGCAGGTACTCGATGATGAGCTGGGCCAAGCGCAGCACCTTGAGCAGCACCGGGTCCACAGGATGCCCACAGCGGCTGCATGCCTCCCGGTCCAAATTGCAGAAGGTCACCCCGGTGATGTTCTCCTGCAGGGCGGCCACGTCCAGCTCCCGCGCCACACGGTCCACATCCAGGGCACTAATGCGCCTCCAGTCCACGCTCTCAGAGCGAGGCTGGAACTTGAAGGTAGGCAGGGGGTAGGCCCCAAAGAGGGAGCCACTGAGGCCTTCAGCAGGGGTAGCCGGGGACTGCATGGGCTGAGGAAGCCCTGGGCTGCCCACCAAGGGAGGTTGCCACCAAGGCCACGGCAGCAGGCACAGGAGCTGAGAGAGGGCCTGGAAAATAAGGAGGGGTTCCGGATTTGGTGAGATGCATCTGGCTGCAGGTACTGTACACCTGGCCAGCGGGAGCCTAAGTGGGGCAAAGGGAGAGAGCTGGACAGCAGCCATAGTACCCATGGGATGCACTGACTGGGTGAGAGCTGAGGGAGCCAATGGTGTGGGCTCTGCAATCACAGGGATGGGGATTCAGATCGAAGCCTTGGGCAAAGTTCCTTCACATCCTTAAACCTTCTGTGTATATTGGGGATCCTGGCGTCTACTCTTCAGGCTTGTGGTTAGGAATAAGGCAAGTGAAGCACCCAGCCTAATACCTGAAACATAGGAGGTCCTCCTAGGACCTCATTTCTAGGAATGAGGCAAGTGATTTCCCCCCACTGCTATGTGTGTGTCCCTGCCAGAGGTCTTTGTCAGAGGGAGGGGTCAAATGTCTAAGTGGATCTTTCTGCAACCTTATACTGACCTCAGGATAAGTTCCAATAATTTGCCATGGGAGGCAAAGCCTCCTAACAACCACCACACTCCATCCTGTCCTCCCGTCATTACAAGACTACAGCCGACCAGGAACGGGCTACATTCTATAAAGTGTGCCCCAACTGTAAAGTGTGATCACAGGACTATGGTCCCCCTGGGGGGATGTGAGTAAGATGATGGCCACCGCGGTTGGGGGAGGCTTAACAGAGCAGCCATGTCTCCGCACAGACTCTACTCCATCCATGACGGTCTTCCTTTCAAACCTACTGATTTAGAAAAGAGGCCCAGTTTGTTCTCAGACTCCTCTCCACTCTCTTGGGAGACACAGAAATTGTTCTCTCTCTTTAAAAAGTAATTTGACAGTAGCAATAAGATTTTAAAATGAACATTTCACAACAAAGAATTCTAATTTATCCTACAGATAAACATATAAAAGTGTGCAAAGTCGCTTGTGCAAAAAGGTCATGTAGTATTGTTTGTAACAGCAAAGTACAAGAAAAAATACAAGATAGTGAAGTATGAAGTACAACAGGGGATACAAATGGTAACTCTATACAACGAAATACTATGCAGCTATTGATAAGAATAAGGCAACTATTCACACACTGAAACAGTAATGACTGTGTGTCTGTGTATACATATACATAAATACAAGTATACACACACGTAAATATACACATATATATATATATATGTATTTCCACACCTGTTTAAATGATAACATAATCACATCAAATAATAATTTGCAAAAATAAAGATATATATATATCTCACATATGTATCTATCTATATCTTTCAGTATATGTCACATAGCTATAGATCTATAGATATAACTCACATTATTGCCTATGAGGAAGGAGGGAAATGAGGGGTGAAACGGGGATAAATAAATGAATACATGGATGGTGCATGGGTAGGAGGTGGGTAAATAGACAAGCCTTACACAGAGCGATGATGATAATGATACATGTATATAACATATATACATATATACACATGTATGAATGATTCATATTTGTTGCTCATATGTAATAATAGCGAAATAGAATACACTGATTTACGGTTCCTATATGTGCTTCATTGTCTATCATTTCGTTACCACAGACTATGGTATTTCTAGAAAAACGAACAAGCTGTTAGTAATGGTTGCCTCTGGGAGGGGAAAGGAAGTCGGAAGATTTCGGTTTTCCACTTTCCCCCTCCCTATACTATCCAGTATATCTTTACATCATCATCTATTACTTTAATAATTTTCATAGAAATAATACAATTTCTGCCCTTGAACTTCAAATCTGACCGGGGAACAATAAGGACAGATGAACTTATTTAATCAAGTTCTTTCCAGATCATGTGATTCAAACTTTTAAATACAAGAGAAAGTCAGAGGAGAGAGAGGTCACTGATCTCATGAAGGGGAAAGGCCTTGTGGGTTTGTAAAGAGGGGAGGGGCCTCCAGGGAAGGTCCCTGACACCCCTGAGCCTTCACCTGAGAAGGACAGTGAGGGGCCTGCCCCACATGCCTGCACCCTGCGGGCCTCGGTGCAGCAAGTGCCAGCTCCTGCCGGACACAAATTCTACGTGCAAACCTCCAAGCAGCTGTCACAATTCCCATTCTACAAACAAGGAAACGGATTTCTAGAGGGGCTAAGAGTCTTGCCCCAGATTGGGAGGCCAGAGTTGAAGCACAGTTGGAGGTGCATCTGGCCCTAAAGCTTATGGACTCTGAACACTGATTCTTGGGACTCTCTGTCCTTAAATTTGGCTTTGATCAGATCATGACGGCTTATCCCTCAAACTCATTCATTCATTCACCCACTGCCCACCTCATTTACAGCATGCCTACTCCGGCCAGACCCCGTGCCAGGCATTGGGGCTGCCGAGGTACAGGAACCACATACCGTCCTGCATCCAGGAGCTCAGCGTGGCCCCTTGTTGCCACCGCACCATGTCCAAACCGCTTAGCCCAGCCTTGAAGACTGCCCACAGGCTGCCAATGGCCCACCTTTTCCATTGCCGCTCCCACACTTCCTTTCTTATCTACTCTTCCCCCAGCCAGACTCCAAAACCAAAACCATCCAGCCACCTGCACCCCCATCACGGCCATGACAAGATCAGTCCATTTCTACTTAATGTGTTCTGTTATTTAAACAAATAAACCAAAAAAAAAAAAAAAAAGAGAGAGAGAGAGAGAGAGAGAGACTAGAGTCCTGCTACTTACCATGCTGAGCTCCAAACCGCAACTGTGTCCCTGGAGCCTCAGAGACAATTGTCACAACAAGCTATGCCTTGGAGCAACAGCAGGTTACCAGGCATGCTGTGGGCAAGGGTAACAGGACACCTGCTTCCTGTCCTCCCCCAGGCAGGGAGCTCACCTACAACTCACTGTTTAACTATTTAAGCTTTGGCCTCAACTTGTGCCCACAGTCCTCTCTCTAAGAGTAAGGCTAAGAATGCTCCATTGGCAAAGGCAACTCCCACCTTTTTTAATGTTCCTTCCAGCCTCTTCCATGAACAATTACTATCCTTTTACCCTTCTTTTAACAAGGTGGGGGAAAGGGGAGAAGGCAGAGGGGATGGGGCACGGGCGGTGCTCCCGTGATATTCTGCTGTTCACTCATGACTCATATCTCCCTGCGCACTCTCCCTGACGATGAGTTCACACATACCCACAGCTTCAGCAACCAAAGGCCTGCTTTAGGCTGATCCTCAGCCACTCCCAGATCTCTTTTTTCTGGACCATTTCTCTCTTGGGACCTTTAGATCCAGCCTTCCAGTACTGATTATATCAGAAATTGCATAAATAAAATCTTTAAAAAAAAAAATGGGGCGCCTGGTTGGCTCAGTGGGTTAAAGCCTCTGCCTTCGTCTCAGGTCATGATCCCAGGGTCCCGGGATCAAGCCCCGCATCAGGGTCTCTCTTCAGCAGGGAGCCTGCTTCCCCCTCTCTCTCTGTCTGCCTCTCTGCCTGCTTATAATCTCTGTCAGATAAATAAATAAAATCTTAAAAAAAAAAAAAAAGAGAGATTGCAAATCCAAATTCCCCCAGGTCCAGGAAGTAGCATTAAATGCAGGAATGTGCCAGGTATAAAAAAAAACCACAGTACAAGCTTGAGGATAAAAGGCAACTGATTCTCTACCTTAGTGTCCAGGATCCAATTAGGCAGCAGTTCTCAAAGTGTGGTCCTTGACCAGCAGCATCAGAGCATCAGCATCTGCTGGGAACTTGTGAGAAATGCGAATCTCAGGATTTATTGATGCAGAGCCATGGTGGGAGGGAATGTTGGGGATTGTGGCAAATTGGGGAGTGCATGCCCCGTTTAGAAGGGGCAGCCACCTTGGGGCACCTGGGAGGCACAGCTGGTTGAGCAATTGACTCTTGGTTTGGGCTCAGGTCATGATCTCATGGGTCCTGGAATGGAGCCCTGGGTTAGCTCTGTGCTCAGCAGGGAGCCTGCTTGAGATTCTCTCCCTCTGCCCCTCCCCCAATTTGCGTGCAGTCACTTGCTCCACCCCCCACCCCCCAGCCCCCCACCCTGTCTCTAAAATAAATAAATAAGTCTCAAAAAACAAAAACAAACAAAACAAAGGAAAGGGCAGCCACCCCTGGGCTTCAGCCACAGGAGAATGGATTTTCTGCATTCTTCATTGGCTAATCCCAAATTCACTAAAAAGATATTCAAACACCTTTATGAACTGTTTCCAAACTACCTTTCTAGCTGCATCTCCCACTTACAATATTACTTGCTGTCCACACATTCATATCTCCGGGCTATCTATTTATGGGCACTGTTTTTAAGAGCTTCGTGAAGAATAACTCATGTAATCCTCAGAACAATCCCTCAAGGAGGTCCTCATATTATCCAAACCGCAAAGAAGTAAAAAAGTTTTTCCCAGATGCAGGAGGCAAGATCCAAACCCATGCAGCCTGCTTTCAGAGTCTGAGCTCTTAGCCACTATGCCGCCACAGTACAGATGGACCTCTACTACCCTCCCTGCTTCTGCTGCAGGTGAATGAGTGCCTGCTTCAAGGCCTTGCTCACACCTGACAGCCACCATAAATCCCTCCCCAGGCCCAAAGTCAAAATGTCCTGCCCCTCCCTGTCACTCCTGTCTTCCACTAGAACCCCCAGGTTCTCAAAGTCTTAGGGCTCTGCCTTCCAAAGGTGAGCAAGAACTGGGGGAATTTGAAGATTATGATAGCAGCCATCACTGATTAAGTTTCTGTGTATCAGGCACCATGCCAGCCTTTAAAAGTACTATTTCTAGCCATCATACAACCTTGGATGTAGCTATGATTTGCCTCATCTGACCAACATAGAAACTGAAGCTCAGGAGAGCTGAGGGACTGGACCCACGTCACTCAGCAATGAAATAAGGAAGCCAAGATTCAAATCAGGTTCTGTCTGATTCCAGAGCTTTTGAATTATGCCCAGCTACCTCCCAACAATGACGATGATGACACAGAAATTACTTCCCACCATGGAAATGAC